GCCTCTTACTTTATGCAAACTGTGATTTGACCTGAAACTCCATTTAATAGCATCTTTTCATGGCATATACAGGAGAAACAATTTCTGCTACTTTAAACAATATCTTTATTGGAGTATCTGAAAAAAAACTGAGCCTTATGAGTTATTTTAGCTTTCTTACAGAAAACCAAAATACTTTGGTTTAATATATAAATCTTTGTGTAGTATTCTTATTTCTTGAGCTTCATTCAACTGAATATTCTCTCTGGACCCATGAGGAAGAGGCTTACTCTTTTACACCACCTTTCAGAGCAGCTTTGGACTGTACCCTATGCTCTGAAAGGATCCAGAAAAGGACCACAAGTTGGAGGATGAGATTTTTATGCAGTAATTGTTAACTGGTGAGACACTGACTTCTGTTTTGCATGGATAGTTTATGGTTGTGTTGAACTGAAATTGGTCAATTATAATCATTTAAATTACTTTATCAAAATCCTTTCATAAATATAGTTTTAACTTCCTTACATCTTTGTAGGTGGGAAGTACAGACAGATGATGAGACTTGCAAAAACTTCCGGCAAATAAGTGGCAGTATCGATTCTAGAACCTGAATCCCCCGTTATCTAGTTCTTTCCATTATGCCTGGGTACAGAGAGGAATAACTGTCTTCTCTGTAACAGTCTCCTTAACATCTGCAAAAATGTTTACATGGCACACTGAATGTTCTAATTGTACTAGAAGTAAATCAAAGGAAATGTAAAACCATGAACATATGCTGCCTGTTATGTCTACCACAGGAATATATAGACTATACTGTGTTTACTGCTGACATATAGTTAACAGAATATCATTATTAGTGGCATTATATAATACATTTTGCTACCTAAACATTTAATGAGATGCCCCCATAAAGCTAAGCAGATATTTTTTCTGGGATATTTTGGAAATGAAGGCATATTAACAGACAGTTTATTTTAAAATATTGTTTAAATTGCAAATTTTCACATAAAAACAAAGGTAAGAGAAATCTTGTCTCATTTGAGACAAGATTAAGAATGAATAGTGATTAGAAAAGAAAGGAAAAGAAAATCTTTGCTCAGTAGCATGAACACAAAAGAATCATTACAAATGTATTACTGATTCAGTGACTTCTTTTTTTATTTTGAGATAGAGTCTCGCTCTGTCACCCAGACTGCAGTGCAGTGGTGAAATCTTGGCTCACTTCAACCTCTGCCTCCCAGGTTCAAGTGATTCTCCTGCCTCAGCTACCCAAGTAGCTGGGATTACAGGCATATGCCACCACGCCCAGCTAATTTTTGTATTTTCAGTAGAGATGGGGTCTCAACATGTAGGCGAGGCTGGTCTTAAACTCCTGGCATCAAGAGAGCTGCCCGCCTCAGCCTCCCAAAGTGCCGGGATTACAGGCATGATCCACTGTGCCCAGCCCTGATTCGGTGACTATTGAAACACCAGGAATTCAAGGATAACATCAGGATTTAGGAATGAGAACTGCTTAAAATCACAAAGTAATAATAGTGGTTTCAATTGCCCATTTTAAAGTGTCTGCAAAATCACTTTTTTTTTTTTGAGACGGAGTTTCGCTCTTGTTACCCAGGCTGGAGTGCAATGGTGCGATCTCGGCTCACCATGACCTCTGCTTCCTGGGTTCAGGCAATTCTCCTGCCTCAGCCTCCTGAGTAGCTGGGATTACAGGCATGAGCCACCATGCCCAGCTAATTTTTTGTTTTTTGTTTTTTAGTAGAGACGGGGTTTCACCATGGTGACCAGGATGGTCTCAATTTCTTGACCTTGTGATCCACCCGCCTCTGCCTCCCAAAGTGCTGGGATTACAGGCCTGAGCCACCGCGCCTGGCTGCAAAATCACTTTTTGGTGTTATAATTCTTTTAACAAGTTGAATAAAGGAATATGGCAAGTACTGATACTAAATAAAAACTGCTACCAGATATTTGACTTATAAGACCAGTATTTATTATTATTTTTAATGCATTATTATTTTTCATGGATTTCTGAGGGCCACAAATATCTGAAACATATTTTAATCTGGCCAGTTGAAAACTATTTTATTTTGAGACAGAGTTTTGTCTGTCACCCAGTGATATTTTTAATGCCACTTAAAAAACAACCCAGCCATTTTATATCTTGAATGTAGAAGATGATGATTTAAGGTATCTTGAATGTGATGTGTGATGATTTATTATATCTTGAATGTGTAAGATGTGGGAAATACTTACCTGCAGGACTTACTTTATCAGTAGAAATGACTAATATGGTAGACTACGAATGAAAACTTTTCAGGTCTAGTAATAATCTGTGTTGATACTTTGGAAACCTAGTTATTATGATTATTTGCTGTCCTATTTTTGCAGGGCTCAGAAATTCTGGCCCATGAGCTTTTGTGGAGATAGAAGTACCATTAACTAAAACATAAACTACATGAGGAAACTGACTGCTAACACATTAACTTCCTTATTAATTCAATAAGGTGGGGGAGTAATGTTTGTTGTTCATCTAACAGATGACAAGTGAATGTTAAAATCTGTCATCCTTCTGTCTTATGTTTTTCTTGGCAGTTTAGTAATCCTTATATTGACTGAACAAAAATTATGCCTACTTACTGCTTTGGAAAAAATGTGCAAAAGATCAGAGAATAAAATAGTCCTCCAGCCTACTTATGTCTATCTCAAAGGTTTTAACACTCTTTTATTTTGGCAGATAGACATCTAAATTTCAACCCAGTCAGCACCAGTGTCTGTCCACTCATAATTTCTAATGCCAATAAAACAAATGGTTTAACATTTCAAATTGACAAGGGGCTTGACAGAGATTTAAAGGTTTCTTTTGGTCTTAATGGATCAAGGAAAGGCTCTCCATCATAAAAAAAGTAATGTTGTGGTTTAACCATCCTAATTGGCTGTGACTCTAAGTTCTTTTTCCAGACAATGATTAATTTTTTAGTCAAGGATACATTGTAGGGCAATTCAACATAGACTATATAGTTAGCAGTTTAAAAGTGAAATCTAAATATGAATAAAAAACTGGCTGTGAACTAAAGCTTTGAAAACTTTTAAGACTAAATGTCAATTTCAAAAATTTAAATTCAACTGTTCTGAAAACAGTGGTGTGTGCCCAGTTAGGCTTAAATTTGTGCTAAATGAAATCTCCATCAGTACTAATATGATTTAATAGGTTATATGTGAGAATAGAATGACTGTAAACATGGATCACATTCAACTGGGATAAAGAGTTGAGAAAACTTTCACTGATTGCTGAAAATTATGACTTTTTTTCTTGCTATAAATAAAATATCAATGTTCCAGCCTTAACTCCGGGGTTGGCCACTTGCAAAAGCTACCCTTTCTAATCTCCAAGGAATGCTGGGAGACTCTGAGTGAGACCACAGCTGAGGCCTGAACACCATCTTCACTGCTCTATCTCATCCTTGGGTATGCAACTCAGTGATGTAAAGAAAAGCTCCTTCCAGTCATCTTGAATCCCTACCCTGCCCTCCACAGCCCCAACTAAATGAATCATTTAAAAAGTGAAAATCAAATTCATGCACATCTCCTTAAGAGTGGTTCCCTTCCTTCTAAGCAGTGTGGGCATATTATAAGGATCTTCTTTTTCATGAGGCTCATTTCATTTATGTCTGTGTGTGTGTACAGAGAACAACAGATAAATACAAAAATAACATGATAATTAAAATATATAGCATGCTACACAGGGATAAATACTACTGAGGAAAATAAAGCTGAGAAGGAACTAGAGGGTGTCTTGGTGGGTGGCACTGCAAAGGCGATAACTGAGCAAAGAGCTGAAGGATGCAGCTAAGTGAACCATTCAGATCTCAGGTAACTGGGGAAGAGAGCTTCAGGCTGAGTGAACACCTAATGCAAAGGACCTGGAGTGGGGAGGTGCCTGATGTCACATGAGGAACAGCAAGAAGCAGTGTAGCTGGAGCAGAGGGAGTAAGTGGAAGGCAATGAGGTCGAGGGGGCCAAAATGGAAGAGGTCATGTAGGTCCTCATAGACCATTCCAAGGACGGGCTGAGAAGCGTGGAGGGTTTTGAGCAGAGGAGGGGCAGGACCTAACATGTTGCTAAAGCCTCTTTGTGTCCAGCCATGGTGGAAACATCATCAAAAGAGACCAGAAAGATAAATCTGGTAACAGGTGTCCCAAAGTTTGCACATATAACTACTGAAAGAGAAAGGGGTTGAATCCTGGAGAAGTGGGTGTGTGGGTAGTTGGGAGGAGGAGGTTTCCCTAGGAGATGCACCTGCCTGGCTTCCAGGCCGCGACTGTGCAAACTCCGGTCCTGTCACTCCAGTCCCAGGTCCCAACTCCGGAAGGGTACGGCCCCAAGCCTGCACCTCCCTTTGCCATGGCAACCGCTGGCTGCCCCTCCCTTCTGCCTTTTGAGCACGTGGCACCAGGACCCCGCGTTCTCTCCAGCTCGAAAGCCAGGTCTGGCCCAGAGCCGGGCTCATCAGTATTCCGCCCGCGGCGCCCGCCCCCCTACCCTTCACCGTGCCTCACCAGGTACGTCTAACCAGTAGCTACAGACTCCTGCCGTCCGCGCGATCCTAGACCCTCCCTGGGGCTTCGCAGCCTGCCCTGCCCTCGAGTGTGTCTAACGGCCCTGGGCACTGGCGCTGATCTGCCCAGCTACGCAGCGCTTTCCCAAACACTGGCCACGGCCACTGGCTGCAGAACCACCGAGGAGAGGGGGCGCCCTGCGTCCCACTCGCAGGCAGCGCGCCCCGAGAGACCCGTTCTAAGACATCCATGCAATAACTCTCTAGGGGGGATTCAACTCCCCCGTGCGCTGGTTAAGATTCCCCCATGCCTCCTGCAATGCACCAGACCGGGGAGGTAAACATCTGAGGCACCTGCATTGCGCCCCCGCTGGGATGCGCTGTGCGGAAGAGACGGGGACCGTCTGCTGCAAAACCGGATGATCGGAGGCGCAGGGAGTTAGGACTGGGTTTTCTTAGGACTCACCTTATGTAGTTTCCACATGGCACCCAGAGCCTTGACTTCGTGGCTGGAGTGTTTGCCCTCCTCCAAGCATTGGTAGCACACAGGCATCTTGCACTGCACGCAGTACATGCTGTGGTTCTCCAGCTCGTGGTCTGTGCAGGTGGAGACCTTGCGCGGGCTCAGCCGCCGGCTCACACGGCCCTGGGCCGGGGGCACCAGGCGATGCTTGGCTAGGGGCCCCCGGGGCGGATGGCAGCGCAGGCGGCACGGATCGCAGTAGAAGACGTCGCACTGTTCGCACATGACGGTGGCCTCCTTGGGTGCCTTCTCGCAGAGCTGGCACTTGAGGGCCGCGGCTTTGCTCTGCTGGTAGCGGTCAATTACCCCTTCCAGTACGCGATTCTTGGGGAAGCCGCGGAGCCCCCGGTCATCCAGGATGAGGCTGCGGTGACACTGGGGACAGGTGATACAGGAGTTGCGGGGCACCGGGGCCAGGGCCGGTGACAGGTGGGTGGCCGGTGGCGGCATAGCCGGGGGAAACACGCGGACGCCGTTAGGGGACTTCTGGCACGGGGTAGTGGGGGCGCTGGCGAAACCCCCGTAGGAGCCATAGCCGCTGTCCGCCTCGCTGTACAGGCTCATCTTGTCCAGGTCCAGATAGTCATAGTCGGAAACCCCGGAGCCCGAGGCCCGACGGCTCTGGGGGGACTCAGACTCCGGGGTCTGCACCAGGATGTTGCGGGCGCACGCTTGACACAAATTGTGAGAGCAGGGCAGGATGATGGGTTCCCGATAGAAGGAGCCGCACACGGGGCATTTCAACTCCTCTTCCATCTCCTCCATGGGGTCGGGTCTGGGAGGAGGCAGCGGCGGCTGCAGAGGGTGCCTGAGCTGGCGAGGTGGCCGAGGGGCCCGTCTTGTCCAGCACCCTGGCCAGCGGCGGCGGCGGCGCCTTCTCGGGTAGTGCTGGCGTGGACACCCGGAGAAGCGCTAGCTCTGTGAGCCGCAGCCGCTGAGCCGCCGCGCCGCGCGCCAGCCCAGACCGCCCCCTCCTGCCCTACTAGTCCCGCCCTGGCCCAGGAGCCGCGGCCCATTGGGCAGCGGGCAAGAGATAGAAGCTCTCATTGGCCACCGGACCCGTCCGTCTCCTCGTCTCCGCAGGCCACAGGGGGTTCGGTGGAGTCTGAGGATAGGGGTGTCTTCGCTCGCGGCTGCATGATCTCTGGAGGGGGCCGGCGTGCGGAGGGTAGGGGACGGGGAAGGAGGAATTAGGCGGGATGACTCATCCTCGCCCCGCTTCCTTCCGACCTCCGGTGCAGTCTCCCAGGAGCCGGGGGCGTGAGAAACCCCTCCCCGCAGCGAGTGGGCTGGCGGAGGGGGCTGGGGCTTGTCGCCAGTGTTAGCGTTTGGCTCTGAGCTCCGCGCCCACCTACCGCGGGCGAGCGCTGCGCACCTCCGAAGACGCCCCTTCTCTTCCGCTACTGGCAGCCTTCGCAGGGGCCTCACTCGGGCCTAGGCTTCTGCACAGCAGTGGGGCTTTTCTCCCTCCCCGTGAAGCCGCTGACGCCAAGCCCTGGCGCTCCTCTATCGCGGGAGTCTGACGGCGCTGGCGCGAGCCCGGACAACACTCTTGACTTGTTTCACCCTGCGTCCCTTGTTTCCTAAAGAGCATGTATAAAGTCAATTTCCGGGTGTCGCCATGAGATTCCACCGGGTAACCCATGGAAAGGCTCAGCATTAGTCAGAATCTATGACCCCTTCGTTTCATGCTTTAAATTATAGCTCGGCCCAAAGGCCTCAGTGCCATGGTGTGAACGTGCTTCTTCCCACGGATCCCTCTTTCTCCTCCCAGCCTCCCAAAGCACCTGGCTGAGCTTTCACGAGGCCCGCCGGGCCTTTGGTTCGGTTGAGGCAAGAATAGTTTGTCTGTTTCTGAGTGCCCTGTAGTTTAGTAAAGCTCTGTAAATGAATCACTATGTGAATGCGGAGTCTGAATGTTTGACTCCAAACACCATTATTCAACCCCACGTGCCCTGAGCATCTGCCACAGCTTACAGCATGGTGTGCCTTCCTGTTTCTTCCAACGAGGGGCGTGGTGAGGCTGTGGTCGTAGTGTTAGTCCCTGTAAAAGGAAAGAGGGAGGAAGGAAAGACAGGAAAGAGGGAGAGAGGGAGGGAGGAAGGAAGGGGGGAAGCAAAGAAGGGAAGAAGGGAGGGAGGAAGAAGGAAAGGAAAATCTTTTAGTCAAGTGACATTCTGAGGTAGTAACATTTGAAATAGTACATAGCTGGCTTTTGCTGAGTGATTCATGAAATAAAGGACAAAAACTCTTTGCAGATTCTAGAAATCTTCCCATTTCCTCCTTCCAGGCAGGAGATAACTTGATTATATATGCAGCTATGTTAATAACTTAAAACTACTTTATTGTCCAGAAAAAAATGGACATTTTATAACCCTGCCTTTGTAGAAATTGTCCAGTAAACTAGGTTATCTTTTCAATACCTTCAGTTGCAATGAGAACAGTAGTTGATCATTGTGTGGGGGAATAAAGTTCCCATTGTTATTTAAAGCCATTTTAATCATAAATGCGATGTGATTTTTTAAAGCTGGCTTTTAACTAGTTGAGACCAGAGCATTCAAAGATATATGTACTCTGTTACAGGCATAGATAAAATTTCTTCAGGTGTGGTTGGGACATTAGCTGCACTTGCAGGGTATGCTTAATTTGTAGGTTCCAGGAGAAATTACTTATAATTAATTTAATATAGTATAATTTAATTTAATTGTATTGAAAGTTAATTATTGAGAAAATATTAGAAAGGAGGGTCCTTTTCTGGTTTTTGTGTGCATTTGACCACAAGTCACAATACCCTGGACAGACAAGGTGAGCAGCTATTACACTTTGTATGAGTTTGAACTCTGCTTATCGTCGTATATCCTCTAAGAGATCTTCTAATTAGCAGAAAGTTTATGATTAGTTCAGAGTAAAGGATAATCTGAGAGGATGTCTCATGGTGTAATGCAGTGCTGGGTTCACAAAAAGAACAACACAGATTTATAATATAGTCAATATAGAAAGATTTGGTCTATTATGAAGTCGTTTGAGATGATTTCATTGTTAGATCTGTTTGGTTAGGAATCAGCCAAATCAGTCAATCCTAGGAGAGCTCTTAAAATGACTGTCATTTGTTGAGAGTTCACCCTGTTCCAAACAGGGGGTTTATTTATTTGTATGTATTACTTGGTTAAATTCCTACAATTACAAGAAGAGGTAGGCACAAATATTCCCATTTTACAGTTGAGTAAACTGAGGATAAGCAAAGACACTTAAGAACTCAAGGTCAAATATGGTGAAGCTGGGACTGAAATCCAGGCACATATAAATTTGTTCCTTTGTTCATTCATTCATTCATTCATTCAACAAGTGCTAAGTTCTACTCTCTTCAAGCTCTGCATGTGGAAAGTACCCAAAATGTTCTTTGTTAACTTCTATGATATTCTGCTTATCTTCCCTGAAAGTTTACTTTTTTTCCCTTTTTTGGGGGGATGGGGGAGGGACTAGAGTCTTGCTTTGTTGCCCAGGCTGAAGTACAGTAGCAGAATCTTGCTTACTGCAACCTCTGCTTCCCAGATTTAAGCGTTTCTTATGCCTCAGCCCCCCAAGTAGCTGGGACTACAGGCATGCACCACCATTCCTAGGTAATTTTTTTTTTCTTTTTTTAAGTAGAGAAAGGGTTTTACAATGTTGGCCAGGCTGGTCTCAAACTCCTGAACTCAAGTCATCCGCCTGCTTCAGCCTCCTGAAGTGCTGGGATTACAGGCATAAGTCACCATGCCTAGCCAAAAGTTTACTGTTTTTCTTGAATTCATTTCTTTCTTTCTTTTTTTTTTTGAGACGGGGTTTCAGAATTCATTTCTTTAAAATATTTTTGAAAGCCTTTGAAGATTTCCCTTCACGTTGAACTATTTGGCCATAATATACTTTATAGCCCCCCAATGACATATTTAAAGGGGAATAAAAATTGAAATGTAATTGATAATATTATAGAAATATTATACCATTGGGGGAATATCTTCTGTCTTCCAGCTGGTGATCAGTCCATGCCCTGAAGCACAAGGATTGATAGCCCTGTAATTTCATCATTCCTGGGATGACTGCAGATGTTCTCTTTTGTGTAAAGTGCCTAATTGTCCTCTGAAACTTACTATTCACCCAAATTATGTTCTTTAGCAATGAGAGGAATTAAATTTAAAATGCAATAACAGCCTTGCATTTTTTGAAAAAGATAAATGTTTTTCTTTTTTTGATAAATGTTTTTCAATGAAGAATTGAGTTGCTTTCCTATTTGCTTTTGACTATAATGCTTGATTATTAACAAAACAGTCTCTGTGAGTCTAAAGAATGAACACAGAGAAGAAAGGTTTTTCTTTCCACATTCTCTCCTACAGCAGTCTGTCCTTAGTTGGAGGGGGCAAAAATCAGTGAGAGGAGCTGATCTTAGGCTCTAACATTTTAAGATTATCTGATCTGTATATAAAAATATTTTATTAAGATATTTGAATAAGGGTCTGCTGCATGTGATTTATGAAGTCCCTCATTTGAAAAGTGATAGATGTGATGTTTCTATTTTCAATAGAAATTCTGAAGAAACTTCTTTTTATGGAATAATTCACCCCATTTAGTCCACTAATATTCAATTTTATACTTGTAATATTTTGTACTATCCTTTAATAACATACATTTATTTATTGTTGATATCCTTGGGCAATTTTAATTACATGATTATTATAGTGAATTATGAGCTTTTTCCCATTTACTACTACTGGAAGATGGCCATATTCACATGCTGTAGTATTTATGATTGTAAGTAATATATTACCTATACTTTGGGAAGGGTAGACTGGAGAATCAGAGAAAATGAAAGATTTAGTGAATACTATATGGAGGTAAGAGAGTTGGAGGATAAATCCGGAAGAACTAACTTGTGAATAATAGGAATCTCAGAATGAGGAAATAATACAGGTGAAAGAAAAACCATAGTTGGAAAACATTTCCATGAACCAAAAAAAGATATAAAATTACAGATCGAAAGGATTTTAGAATTATAGATGACACTAATGAAAAAACACCCAGTCATACACAGGCACAATTCTTAACTCAGAAAAAAAAAAGATCATTTCACAATCTCCCAGACAGAAAGAACAACTTAATTGTAAAGAAAAAAGAATCAGATTGGCATTGAACTTCTGCTACCTTACAAGTGAAATTATGTGAAACAAATTCTACAGCCTACTAAAAGTAGAAGTCACCCTGTTGTAGTCCATTTTTGCTGCTATAACAGAACACCACAGACCAGATAATTTATAAGAAACAGAAATATATTGGCTTATGGATCTGGAGGCTGGGAAGGCCCAGATCAAGACACTGGCATCTGGTGAGTGCCTTCTTGTTGCACCATCCCATGGTAGAAGGGCAGAGAGAGGGCAAAATAGAGAGCAAGACGGGGGCTGAACTTGTCCTTTTATATGGAAGCCACTCTGGCAATAAGAATGATAATGGCATTAATTCCCATTGATAATGGCATTAATCCATCCATGAGGGTGGTGCCCTCCCCTCCCCACCCCCCAACCCCAGTGACCCAAACACTTCTTAAAGGTTCCAATTCCTAACACCTTCTCATTGGGGATCAAGTTTCCAACACATGACCTTTGAGGGACACAGTCAAACCATAGCACAGCCTATTGCCTGCCAAAAGATCATTTGCTTGTCGGGTCAAAGAAGAATATTTGCAAGAATTTAAAGAATAGAGCACTTACACATTCCATCTGTGAAAAACAATTGAGAAGAATTTTAAACTAAATTACAAATAAATCTTAACAGACTCCCCAGAATGGATTAGGAGCGATCGAGGACCTGAAAGCATCCTAAGGACCTGATACTGGGGAGAAAGAAGAAATGAGAAAGGAAAGGTGGGAAATAGAATGTCTCAGTTGGAGGGATTACTTGGTATCTGTTTTTCTCACATAATATTAAAACAACATCTATATTATGAGGCCTGGAAAAGGAGTATAACTATCAATGGAAAGCGAAATAGAACTTGCAAATTAACACACATAGAGAAAATATTCTGTGAAACTCTATAAGAGCAATTTTTAAAACCTAAATGAAAGGAATACTTTCTGGAAATATATATTAATTGAATTAATTCCTCAAAATAGAAAGATTGAATAGACCAACCTCCATAAAAGGGATTAGAAAGATAATTTCAGATATATCATTAAAAGGGAGAGGATGGTTGCACTGATCCGTTCTAGTTAAACTTTTTAACACAAGCAATTTTAACGCTATTGAAATAATTGAAATGAAAGAAAAATATGGACTATTTCCCAGTCTGCTTTATGAAGCCATCAAAACTTTAATAACAAAACATGATTATATAGTTAATAGAGAATACAATAAACAAAAATCTGTGGTCCAAAACCTAAGTGTTAGATGTAAAACTACTAAATAGCATGTCAGCAAATAGATTTCAGATTTATATAAAAAGATTAATAAACTATGACCAAGTAGGGTTTTTCCTAGTACTGCAAATATAGTTGAGTATCAGGAAAACTGTCCACACATTTTATTACATGAAAAATTAAAGAGGAAGAATTCCCTCTTTTGGCCTATGGGAGTAATATTCCTTCCATCAATGACTAAAAACCAGGAATAACTATAGGGAACAACCATTATCAGACACTGGCAGAAAATATAGGACTTTAATTCCTGAGAGAAGGCAACCAAGAGATGAGCCCTACCTTCATCCAAGATTTCTGCCAGTTGACAGTTTCCAGACTTTGGAACACAGAAGAGGAACCCAAACAAAGCTCCCCAGTCTCTCCGAGTTAAAGAGACAGAGAATTGTGAGAAGGCCATGAGAGCTAGAATTTGCAGAGAGGGAA